AAGTTTGTTGTTTTCGGATTGTAATTTGTGAATACTTTGTGCTGAAGACTAAATGATATACATGAGATTTTCTGTACCAGCTTGAGCTTTTAGATTAAGTGGTTCTATATCATTAATTAGGCTCAATAAGGCTAGACGAGATTTAAACGATATATATGTGACTTTATCTAACAACTTAAGCTTTTAGATAAAGTGGTTTTACACATAACTATTTTATTTATCATTAATTAGAATCAACAAGGCTACTTCTATTTAAGATCGTCTTTATGAATTCTGTGTTTCAAATGCGGAAGGTTTCCGAAACATAGTATAATCTGGACCACTGGCTCATCTCATTTTAGGCATTTGGCCTCTTTGACATTTTTGTTTGATATTCTCAGGTCATGATATAGTGGCAAGTTTTATGATTAAGAAGCCATCTTCTTTTCTCGACAACTATGTCATACAACTCGAGAATGATATTTTTGCATTAATAAGTTTCCCCACAACAAAAGTACGGACAGTTCTCTCTCTCTCATCCAGTTTTAACTTTGTTGCTGTTTTTTATTATTTGTATTGATTCTTGCTCTCTCGGTAATGTAGTTATCTTCTATGACAGGTGGAAATAATAAATTTCACACCAGCTGGATCAAACACGACGAATGTAGTGTTTGCTGTTGAATCTGATGTAACAACCCGCAGTTTAATAAGAGCTTCTTTTGTCTCCATGGTTATACATCCATCGTACCTGCATTTGACTCCATCCTTGTTTGGGGATCCTTTTTCTTTCGAGGTGCTCAAATTTAAAGGAGGGATTACTGCTAGTCCTAATCAGAAGGCATTCCTTTTGCAGAAAGTTCAGATCCGTTTCAACTTCACTTTGAACTTTTCCATCGATGAATTACTGAATAATTTCTATGAACTTACCAGCCAACTGAAGTCAGGCTTACATCTTGCTACTTATGAGGTCCGATAATGTTAATTCTTTTTCTTTTTCACCATGACGATTATTGTTTTATCGTCCAGTGAAGCATATGTGTGCTTTCTATTTTTTATTTACTGAGTCATGTTTGGTCAAGCTTGAAGTTACGTAAACTTTAAAGATATGCAAAATCTTCTCTGGAAATGTGATTAAATTCATGAACATCACTAATTTTAAAACTATGTATGTGTGATTGATGATATTTCCTTTGAGTTTGTGATGATTCTGTACAACTAATAATCTTCTTTGGCTTGTTTTCTGCAATGCAGAACTTGTACCTTAGCCTGACAAATCTGAAAGGTTCAACAATGGTTCCACCCACTACGGTTGACACGCAAGTTGTTTTGGCAGTGGGACTTAATCCCTCGAAATCCAGGTTAAAGCAGTTGGCTAAAACCATCACCAATTCTCATACCAAAAATCTTGGACTAAATAACACTGTATTTGGTCGGGTTAAGCAAGTTCGTCTTTCATCTATGTCCATCAATGTTACCTCACCATCACCATCACCGTCTCCGTCTCCGTCTCCATATCCTCTGCCCCCATCCCACCACCATCACCACCATCACCACCGACACCATCACGATCCTAGTCGTGCTCCTGGTATTTCACCTGCACCATCAACAGGTGAAAGTGGACCTGTAACAGGAAAAGAATCACCCGAGCCTGCACCCGTGTCTGCACTAGCACCAGGGAAGAGTCAAGTGGCGAAGCCTCCTGGTTGTCATTTTGGTTACAAAAATAGGTTTCCCCGAAAACCCAATGAGGGTTATCATATGAGACCTACGGCATCTCCGGTTTATGCACCAAGTGTTACTCCTTCACAACCACCTCAGCAATTTGATCCACCGATACCTGATGTACCTCCAGTTCCTGCTACAAGCCCATCATCAAATGTAGCTTATAATCATAATCACCCCCCATCAAAGAGTGATCATGCAGGGCCTCCAGATAAACTGCCATTAGTTTCACCTGCACTCTCTCCATGTGAGTAATTGTTTCTTTGGATGTTAAGACAAGTATGTCTCTATTCCGTGTGGGCAATAGTTTTAATAATGTGGTGATTGTTTCTTTTCGCTCTTTTGAACCATTACATTTCTTTTGCAGCCTCTGCAGGTACCTTTTCCTCCAGTTTATGGGCTTTTCCGCTGTTCCTACTCTTCACGCATTTGTGGCAGCAGAGAATGTGAAGCGTTTTTGTTGTGGCAATTCGAAAACAGTGAAACTTGTCCCTGTAATATCATCTCACCCGAATTAAACAGAGGAACAGGAGGAATTTTGCAAGTGAGAGCAGTGCCAAAAGGGCGCAACTCACAAGTGGTTAAGAAACTATATTACTGTTTTGGGCATGTAAATATTTGTTTGTATTATCGACGGCTAAATGCATTCGGGTCAAAGTCACAGAGGTGACGGGCCTGTGATGACATGTTACGCCGCCTTATTGTGTATGATATCACTTCTACATAAATTCGAGGGAAAATTGTAATACATCACTCTGTTTTGTTGATGTTCTCTTGTAAGTCCCATGATTATTGATACCAACAAGGGCGAAGTACGATCACGATATATAGGCCCCAAGTAACTGCACAACAAAATAGGGTCTGACTCTTAGGATAGCAGATCATCTAGGTGGATCGTTGTGGTCTGTAGTACAATTTTTGATGTTAAGGATTTTCAGAAGAGACAATAGCAGAGCATATCGATATAACTACTCTCGATTTAACTGAACATTGTTAAAGGAAGGTGTAATCAAATTTAACTTAATTGTTCGGTGAGGGCATCCGTAGAACTTGTTATACATGTACCTGTGAAAATTGGATTTAGACGTAAATAAGTGACCATATGAATTGAATTCAAGACATTCATTTAGTTCGATACTATGTTGAACCACTTCATCAATTAAAATATATAAACCTTTTTATTTAAAATCTATCTTCGACAATTTGATCAACTGGTTGGCCGGATGCAGATGAAACCAATATGCTCAATTTATACAAATTGGATATTTGGCTTGTTGACATTTGCACGTGCTCCGGTTTAAGCATGTACTTTGATTCATTTAAGCCACATCTTTGTCACTTCACTAACGAAGGGTTCGAGTGGAACAGAACAAACGATGTCGAGCTAAGAGCACCTTCATTCCTATTTTGTTGGTTGGTTAATTGGGCACATTAACGTACCAAATAAATTTGGCGAATATTTGTGGATTGCAAGTTTCTTTTCTTTTTATTCCCAATATTCTATGTCCGAGAATACACTGAAAAATACTTGAGAATAGACCATTGAAAAGTAATATCAAGATTCCAAAGAGCAAGAAACACAAAATTCTAAATTGGCCATAAATCACAAAAACTTTGATTCCTTTCCTCATTTGATAAATGACCTAATGGTCTGGTCCTTGTGCAAATATGCAAAACAAAGACCTTTTTTTTGGGCAATAGAGAAGGGATGCACGACTCTTTATCAACTTGAACGCAAAAGTTGTTAGACAGAATATATAAAATCATATTTAGTAAATGAAGAATATAAAGAAAATTATTACAATAAGAGTGTGTTTGATTGACAAGGAAAATATCACCTAGAAAAGAAAATATTTTCCATCTTTTGTGGAAAATAAAAACCACCTCTACCCAAGGAAAATATTTTCCTTAAAAACAAGGAAAATTAGGCATATTTTCAAAAGTTGGAAAATGTTTTCCATGGAAAAAAATAGCAATCAAACACTTCAAGTAGGAATTTGGGTGGAAAACTGATATTTTCCATGGAAAATAAATGTAATCAAACACACCCTAATAGATTACGGAATTGCAAATAAAATTATCTCAATGATAAATTTATGGAGATCGAATTACAAGATTCGATCCCTCACTTAAGTGTTCAAACTTCAAAGTTTATTTAAAATATGTCTATCAGGATACAATAGCGAAACCAATATCAAGTAGAGCACCAAGCTTTTGCACGACAAATTGAATTTTGCGTGAACACTACTAAGGGACCAAACTTTGAATCCACAATTGTGCCTGCAAGACTTGCTTGCAGACAAGTTGAATGTCCTGAGATGCAACTCCCCTTGCACACGAATGAGAGAGCATCTATGCTATATAAGCTTACACCTTCATAAAATGTAGTCATTTATAATCGAGTATTTGCCTAATCATTTTAAAAATGTGGGATAAACTTCTGTAACTTTCCCTTCAATATTTTTCAACTTCAATGGGTGCTCTTGAACTTTAATTTTTTATTCACCCAAGCGTCATTTTGAGCATGCAAATATATACTTTCGAAGTTCTTATTTTGGAGAACACAAATTTACTTTAATCTTCCTAAAAAAATGAAATGGGCCGCACTCAAAATTATGCCAAAATACGTTAATTTCGAACAATCTACTACATGAATGAAAATTGATAGAGACCACGGAAAATACAAAGAGAAAGTGATAAAGTTCAATGGTCAAAACTTGCATAGATAATTATGTATTATACTTTGGATGTACCTCTATGAAAGTATATTTATTTTACTAGTTGATTAGTAGACATGATATTTATCGTTGAGCATGTTTCCTCATGTTTCCATTTACCATGTGACGAGTAAAATAAAATATATTACTTTCAATTAAACAATATTATGAAAGTAGGGTAGTGACTTAGGACTCGTTAGATATGACTTTTACTTTTGCTTTCCCTTCCTATAGAAGACTTTTTGTAGAAAGCTAGCTTAATTTTTGTTTGAAAACTAATTTTTAAAAATATTTTCTATTTTATAAGTGTTTTTAGAGCAATTCACGTCGAACCTTTTTCTCTTGAAGTTATTCAAAATAAAAGAAATATTTTCATAAATTAGTCAAACTGATCCAAAAGTTGCATTTGAAATTTCCGAATTTTCAAAAATCATGTCAAACGATCTTTAATTAGATAATATTTTCGATATTGTCTCTGATTTGGACAAAGATTTTAGTAAACAGTAATTTCCATTTAAGGTGGAAACCATAAAATCCAAGAAAACAGATAATGTCATCAACATATTTCCACTTTATTATCGCTACAGACAACAGTTGATCTGCACAAGTTAATTCAAATCCAAACCCTAAAAAGAAATGAATGTTTTCTCTCACTCCACCCTTTAACCCCTCACCAAAAATTCCCTACTTTATTTTTTTCTCTTTATAGAGAGACAAGAAATATAATAGAAAGGGAAAGAAACGACAGCCATGGACTCTCTCTCACCAAAATACACCAGCAATGGAGCCTAGAAAGAAAACCCAAAAGGGCAAAAACAAGAATAATCCACATTGCTGAAATTTACTACAATGGGGAAGGCAGAGGATGAGCAACCTTTGCCTAGTACGACTCTTAATACTCAGAGCGCAACTCCGAATGCAGGGAACAGTAATGGGTGCTGCTTGGGTTGCAGTAGACTACTTAGAAAGGTTGTGACTTTCAGATGTATATTTGTTTTGGTGCTCGGTGTTGCAGTACTTCTATCTGCTGTTTTTTGGCTTCCATTCTTACGTTTAGGGGGTGAGAAGCATCTGGATCTGGATTATCCAGGTTGGTATGACTATATTTCATATCCCAATTTTTATAATAGATTTGGATAGTTAATATGGCACATGAAGATCTGTGTATATGTTTTGTGATGCTAGTAAATTATGTTTGTGCAGGTCATATCTGGGTTTTTGTCTCGGGTTTGATATATTGTTGGATTTGGGATTTTTGGGGTGCTTGTTTGGGGGATTGAATTTTTGAATTTTTATGAGTGATTGAATGCTTTCTTATTTTTAGGGTTACTGAACAATTTGAGTTGTTTTTTCTCTTAAAGATTTTGGTCATAGTAAATAACAAATCGAAAACCTATGAGCTACATTCTGGATTACATCATACATGTAATTGGGCATTTTAGTGTTGTATACTATTTGTCGATGGGATTAGATCTCTTTTCTTACCCTCTGGCTCTTCATTTTGTTTGTTGATTGGATTCCTCTTTGATTAATGGAAATGTAAATTTAAAATTTCACTGTTCTTGATGAGGTCAGATTTTACCATTGGAATGTGTAAATTCAGTGTCGTGTAGGAAACTTCTGTTATTTTCTGAATCACCCAAAACTGAAAGTTTGCTACGTGGTTGTGACTGATGTTATGTTTTTGAGTTTTCATTTCCAATTTACAGGATTAATTTTGTAGAGCTGTAGGTTCTTGAGTTGATAGATTAAAAATAGTTTTGATTGTTATTGGAGGTTTCCAGGCATAATTAGCGTGTTTAATTAACTTTTGATTGATAGATTATATCCAAGGATTTTCAGAATTTTACCACAGCTGCTGGAGATACAAGTTCTTGCAATGCAAGCTTCAGTAACTTGGTGCTGTAGCATTTAATTGTTTTTAGCCATTCAAAGATATTGTAGAAAGAATTATAATATCATTTTGTTTTCTTGCACTTGAACAACCTAATTTTTTTGTTACTTTATTTCAGTCAAGTACTCACTTCCACCTTATGCCATGCTTGAACGTTAAGAGTTACAAGATGCAATGTGGCATGCAACAGTACTTCATATGACACAATAGAACTGAAAAGACCAATCTTCTTGAACTGAAATGTTGTAATAGGATTCAAACATATTATCACTGAGCTATGTCTAAGAAAGATTAGAAAATGTAATAAGAAATGGAGAAAAAGAATCTCCTTCTAAGACTACTAACGTACATTTTAGGACAGAACACGAAAGCTTTCATTCTTGAAATTATAGTTATGGCAGCTGTATTAATGAAATTAACTTTGTAAAAACTCAACTGTCATTCTAGATTAGACTAAACTGCTATTTGGTTTGGATAAAAATTAGATTTTTAGTATATTTTGATAAAAGTTGGTGAAATATTGCATTTGTGGTTGAAAATTTGATAATGTTGAGGGTCCCATAAAATGCATGGTTAAAAATGATTTAGGAAAAAAAATGAGTTTTATCAAATAAGGGCTAAATTGATCGAAGAAAAGGTTATATTATTTGTTGGGGGTAATACACCCATAATGTGCATATTATATTCAAAAGAGACGTACCGATTTCCAACATTATTTACCTATTACTAAACACCCACCGTCAAATATGACATGAATGAGGTAAGGTATACATAAACAAAGCAGAAAATCCTAACAAAAGGGATTGGAATGTACGTCATACTTCACTTGCTTGATCCTCTTTGCAATCATGAGATAAAAGGAAGGTTCAATAGTTCATGATACTCATTTATTAGAATCTGCACAATGAGATACGAAGTGATGAGGTAAGATGCACCTAAATGTGGAGAAGTCTAATACGTAAAGGCGGTTGGACTCTACATCACATTCATGTGTTCGGTTCTCAATAATTTTGTATACTTGGTGGTTAGAAAGCTTTGGCCCTTTTTAAGTGCTTATGTGGCTATCTTAAACTGGTAAATCATTCATTTTTGATGTTGGAATTATAAAGCTTCAACATAATTGCATTTATTCAAAAGGTTTTGTTTGCATCCATATGACTTGCTCCACAAGATGAATAAATAGCAATTTAACTTCTTTTTGTCTAATGGTGGGGCACAAATACCATCATTTACTGAATTTTGAATATCAAAGTTGAGGGTTTAAAGACATTTTACGCTCTTCCCTATATCTCACTTGCTTTGATTTCCAGGATTTATCTTTTTTCTCGTCATTTTGAACCTTTTTTTGTGCTTACATGGTATGTTACGACGCTTCTACCATTGTCTCTTTGTGATATAATTAGTAAATACCAAGTGAATAGTGAGTATTCTCTCTTGTATAATTATTGTTTTGTATAAAGCCTTATTACTTCTTCATTTATTATGAACATCTCTCTACTATATTACTTCTAAGTTTTATGACTGCATTTGTTTGGCAAAATTTATAAATCATTTATAAATTGTCAAACTTCATTTCAATCACATATTTTAATGGATCTACAAGTACTCTCCACTTATTCATTATTTATTTCTATCTATTTATAAATTAAACCATTTATAAATTCTTCCAAAATGGAGGCTATTATATTTCCATAAAAGCCCTGTTAGCCATTCTAGCCTATTTTGTGATGTAGTTGGGATGGCAGGGTAGAAAAAAATTTTGATTGGCCAATATATGATGAAGCCCCAGTTTCTTGAAGGAAAATTAAGAGAAAGACTTGAATAGGCGCCTACTCATTTGCACACTCTTAAAGTTCTTGAAAGAATTAAAACCATATAAGTTGAAAAAATTAGATAATTTCAGGGATGCAGTAGAGGCCATGTTAATAAGCTCTTAAAAACTCGACTTACAAATAACTACTTGCCAAAAGCCTACCCATCAATATATGGTAAGACATGAGGGCTTAAATACCACCAAAATGAGCTTCAGATTCATTACAAAAGCTCATAAGAAAATCCTAGAATTCATAAAATAATCGCAATAGGTGAAATGCGTAATATAATTTTCTTATTTTTTCATGGATCAATTATTGACTGGATTGGAGAAAACTTGCTCTGGAGTTTTGACTTTCCACAGTTATTAGATTGTCCTAGAGTTTTGACTTCCGATGATTATTAGGTTGTCCTATCTACCATTTCCATTGTTTTTGCTTGTTCTTCCATCTTGTAAAATCAGATTTTCCATGTAACGAAGCTATTTTGTTTGCGATAAATTTCTGTGTAAATTATCCATGTAGTGTATCTTAAATAGTGAAGCCTGTGTGTGTACTTTTCAATATGTCTTTCAATCTAATCAGATTATATGCTTGTTCAATCGACTTGAATTAAAATAAGGGGGAAAAACTCTCTACAATCAAGATTGAACCCGAGAAAAATTAAACACTATTACTATTGAATAATGACGAGTTAATGTACCAAAAAATACGTCAGCTGGAACTACTAAGAAATACGATCTGAGATACCTTAAAATAACTTGGAAAAGGAAACAAAATACCCTATTGCATACTTTCCGTTCTCCCAAGAAGTGTGCATATAAGCTATATTACTTGTCATTTATATAGATTGGCATGAACCACAAAACTAACATCCCTGCATTCTGAAGATACCTTTCCCCCTTCAGTTCACTATATATTCCCATATCTATTTCTCAAGCATATGCACGTATCTTACAATTTGTGCTTGTTACTTATTAGAATTAATTTTCATGCCTAATAATGAGTCATATTGAACAACTGCTGGATTCACTTTATCTGTTAATTGGGGACTATTATCTACTCATAGTTCAGTTCTTTAGGTATTTCAATTTATTTTTCTTAGTGTACAAAAAGATGGGTAGGTCAAGGATTATGACTCATTTGCAGAGTTGGCTGATGAATGTCAAACCAGAGAGAGCGCTGTGGATTCTTTTAATACATGATTTTTGGGGAATTATAAAAACTTGAAGTAATGCAAGATTTTAGGCTATAAATTCGATCACGCTAGTGGGCAGTTGTAATATGAGCATGGAAGTCAAGGTAGGCCACAAATGGGCGTTTAGCTGAATTTCCAACCACTGCTTATGGTAGTTAGATGGTTCAAAAGTTTGTTATTTTCGGATTGTAATTTGTGAATACTTTGTGCTGAAGACTAAATGATATACATGAGATTTTCTGTACCAGCTTGAGCTTTTAGATTAAGTGGTTCTACACACGGCTATTTTATTTATCATTAATTAGGCTCAATAAGGCTAGACAAGATTTAAATGATATATATGTGACTTTATCTAACAACTTTAGCTTTTAGATAAAGTGGTTTTACACATGACTATTTTATTTATCATTAATTAGAATCAACAAGGCTACTTCTATTTAAGATCGTCTTTATGAATTCTGTGTTGCAAATGCGGAAGGTTTCGGAAACATAGTATAATCTGGACCACTGGCTCATCTCATTTTGGGCATTTGGCCTCTTTGACATTTTTGTTTGATATTCTCAGGTCATGATATAGTGGCAAGTTTTATGATTAAGAAGCCATCTTCTTTTCTCGACAACTATGTCATACAACTCGAGAATGATATTTTTGCATTAATAAGTTTCCCCACAACAAAAGTACGGACAGTTCTCTCTCTCTTTCTCTCATCCAGTTTTAACTTTGTTGCTGTTTTTTATTATTTGTATTGATTCTTGCTCTCTCGGTAATGTAATCTTCTATGACAGGTGGAAATAATAAAATTCACACCAGCTGGATCAAACACGACGAATGTAGTGTTTGCTGTTGAATCTGATGTAACAACCCGCAGTTTAATAAGAGCTTCTTTTGTCTCCATGGTTATACATCCATCGTACCTGCATTTGACTCCATCCTTGTTTGGGGATCCTTTTTCTTTCGAGGTGCTCAAATTTAAAGGAGGGATTACTGCTAGTCCTAATCAGAAGGCATTCCTTTTGCAGAAAGTTCAGATCCGTTTCAACTTCACTTTGAACTTTTCCATCGATGAATTACTGAATAATTTCTATGAACTTACCAGCCAACTGAAGTCAGGCTTACATCTTGCTACTTATGAGGTCCGATAATGTTAATTCTTTTTCTTTTTCACCATGAAGATTATTGTTTTATCGTCAAGTGAAGCATATGTGTGCTTTCTATCTTTTATTTACTGAGTCATGTTTGGTCAAACTTGAAGTTACGTAAACTTTAAAGATATGCAAAATCTTCTCTGGAAATGTGATTAAATTCATGAACATCACTAATTTTGAAACTATGTATGTGTGATTGATGATATTTCCTTTGAGTTTGTGATGATTCTGTACAACTAATAATCTTCTTTGGCTTGTTTTCTGCAATGCAGAACTTGTACCTTAGCCTGACAAATCTGAAAGGTTCAACAATGGTTCCACCCACTACGGTTGACACGCAAGTTGTTTTGGCAGTGGGACTTAATCCCTCGAAATCCAGGTTAAAGCAGTTGGCTAAAACCATCACCAATTCTCATACCAAAAATCTTGGACTAAATAACACTGTATTTGGTCGGGTTAAGCAAGTTCGTCTTTCATCTATGTCCATCAATGTTACCTCACCATCACCATCACCGTCTCCGTCTCCATATCCTCTGCCCCCATCCCACCACCATCACCACCATCACCACCGACACCATCACGATCCTAGTCGTGCTCCTGGTATTTCACCTGCACCATCAACAGGTGAAAGTGGACCTGTAACTGGAAAAGAATCACCCGAGCCTGCACCCGTGCCTGCACCAGCACCAGCACTAGCACCAGGGAAGAGTCAAGTGGCGAAGCCTCCTGGTTGTCATTTTGGTTACAAAAATAGGTTTCCCCGAAAACCCAATGAGGGTTATCATATGAGACCTACGGCATCTCCGGTTTATGCACCAAGTGTTACTCCTTCACAATCGCCTCAGCAATTTGATCCACCGATACCTGATGTACCTCCAGTTCCTGCTACAAGCCCATCATCAAATGTAGCTTATAATCATAATAACCCCCCATCAAAGAGTGATCATGCAGGGCCTCCAGATGAACTGCCATTAGTTTCACCTGCACTCTCTCCATGTGAGTAATTGTTTCTTTGGATGTTAAGACAAGTATGTCTCTATTCCGTGTGGGCAATAGTTTTAATAATGTGGTGATTGTTTCTTTTCGCTCTTTTGAACCATTACATTTCTTTTGCAGCCTCTGCAGGTACCTTTTCCTCCAGTTTATGGGCTTTTCCGCTGTTCCTACTCTTCACGCATTTGTGGCAGCAGAGAATGTGAAGCGTTTTTGTTGTGGCAATTCGAAAACAGTGAAACTTGTCCCTGTAATATCATCTCACCCGAATTAAACAGAGGAACAGGAGGAATTTTGCAAGTGAGAGCAGTGCCAAAAGGGCGCAACTCACAAGTGGTTAAGAAACTATATTACTGTTTTGGGCATGTAAATATTTGTTTGTATTATCGACGGCTAAATGCATTCGGGTCAAAGTCACAGAGGTGACGGGCCTGTGATGACATGTTACGCCGCCTTATTGTGTATGATATCACTTCTACATAAATTCGAGGGAAAATTGTAATACATCACTCTGTTTTGTTGATGTTCTCTTGTAAGTCCCATGATTATTGATACCAACAAGGGCGAAGTACGATCACGATATATAGGCCCCAAGTAACTGCACAACAAAATAGGGTCTGACTCTTAGGATAGCAGATCATCTTGGTGGATCGTTGTGGTCTGTAGTACAATTTTTGATGTTAAGGATTTTCAAAAGAGACAATAGCAGAGCATATTGATATAACTACTCTCGATTTAACTGAACATTGTTAAAGGAAGATGTGTAATCAAATTTGTCTTAATTGTTCGGTGAGGGCATCCGTAGAACTTGTTATACATGTACCAGTGAAAATTGGATTTAGACGTAAATAAGTGACCATATGAATTGAATTCAAGACAGTCGTTTAGTTTGATACTATGTTGAACCACTTTATCAATTAAAATATACAAACGTCTTTATTTAAAATCTATCTTCAACAATTTGATCAATTGGTTGGCCGGATGCAGATGAAACCAATAAGCTCAATTTATACAAATTGGACATTTGGCCTGTTGACAGTTGCACGTGCTCTGGTTTAAGCATGTACTTTGATTTTCATTTAAGCCACGTCTTTGTCACTTCACAAACGAAGGGTTCGAGTGGAACAGAACAAACGATGTCAAGCCAAGAGCACTTTCATTTCTATTTTGTTGGTCGGTTAATTGGGCACATTAACGTACCAAATAAATTTGGTGAATATTTGTGGGTTGCGAGTTTCTTTTCTTTTTATTCCCAATATTCTATGTCCAGGAATACACTGAAAAATACTTGAGAATAGACCATTGAAAAGTAATATCAAGATTCCAAAGAGCAAGAAAAACAAAATTCTAAATTGGCCATAAATCACAAAAACTTTGATTCCTTTCCTCATTTGATAATGACCTAATGGTCAGGTCCTTGTGCAAATATACAAAACAAAGACCTTTTTTTCGGTAATTTAGAAGTGATGCATGACTTTTTATCAACTTGAACGCGAAAGTTGTTAGACAGAATATATAAAATCATATTTAGTAAATGAAGAATATAAAGAAAATTATTACAATAATAGATTACGGAATTGCAAATAAAATTATCTCAATGATAAATTTATGGAGATCGAATTACAAGATTCGATCCCTCACTTAAGTGTTCAAACTTCAAAGTTTATTTAAAATATGTCTATCAGGATACAATAGCGAAACCAATATCAAGTAGAGCACCAAGCTTTTGCACGACAAATTGAATTTTGCGTGAACACTACTAAGGGACCAAACTTTGAATCCACAATTGTGCCTGCAAGACTTGCTTGCAGACAAGTTGAATGTCCTGAGATGCAACTCCCCTTGCACACGAATGAGAGAGCATCTATGCTATATAAGCTTACACCTTCATAAAATGTAGTCATTTATAATCGAGTATTTGCCTAATCATTTTTAAAATGTGGGATAAACTTCTGTAACTTTCCCTTCAATATTTTTCAACTTCAATGGGCGCTCTTGAACTTTAATTTTTTATTCACCCAAACGTCATTTTGAGCATGCAAATAGATACTTTCGATGTTCTTGTTTTGGAGAACACAAATTAACTTTAATCTTCCTAAGAGAATGAAATGGGCCGCACTCAAAATTATGCCAAAATACGTTAATTTCGAACAATCTACTACACGAATGAAAATTGATAGAGACCAAGGAAAATACAAAGAGATAGTGATAAAGTTCAATGGTCGAAACTTGCATAGATAATTATGTATTATACTTTGGATGTACCTCTATGAAAGTATATTTATTTTACTAGTTGATTAGTAGACATGAGGTCTATGAACTTTTTTGCTTTTATGTAAATGACGATATATCTCACAGACAAATATTACCTAACACAATTTAGTTCTCATTGTT